ACAGCATGTAATCTTTGGAGACTGGCTTTTTTCACTCAGCATAAACTCCTTAAGTTCTGTCCAAGTGTTACATGTGGCAGTAATTTGTTCCTTCCTATTGCTTGTGTCTGTGTCCACTTCTAGCTAGTCAGCTCCCACTCATCATTTGCTTAAATATTGTTTACTTGGAGAAACTTTTTTTTTTTTACTTTCTAATACACCTTTTTTCTATAGCACCCTGTACTTCTCCTTCATAGTAAAACGTATTTAATAATTTTTATAATTAATTATTTAACAGCTGAGTGAAAAACTTGGAATAAGGGTGAATCCCCAAGGAATGATGTGAGATCAACTAACTAGATTGCAGAAATGGAAGAAGTAGAGCTGTCTTGAATGGACAGTTCAGTTACAGAGTAAAATTCCGGCAAGAATGAGCAACTCAGGTGTTCGGTATTGTTGGCAGAACACAGAGGCAATGGGTTCTGGGGTGTGAATGAAGTGGGAATGAAGTACAGTGGAGAAGGATGGTGGTCAGTAAAGAGGCATTCAGCCACTGTAGTTGCATTTATCTGGGAGGCTTTTATATTAATAGCAAGAGCTCAGTAATCAGAGTCTAAAGCAAAATTGCAGTATCACTTAGGATAGAAGACAAAAGGCCCATCCACTTGTGTGGCATTCAGGTGTGGCGTCCAGATTCGAGAGGGTTTCATTAATAGGCATGAGTGGGCAGATTTTGGGAAGTGGATCAACACTACATCTTCCCAAATTAGGAAGTACGTAAGATAAATAGGATGAAGAGGACTGAGACTGCTGATCTCCATATTGCCCGCATCAGGACTGGTTCAGAAATGGGGTGGGAATTGGCCAGCATATAAGTGATGTCAACGGAACCAGTACAAGAAACTGAAAATTTTACAGGCGGAAGAAATCAGGCAGGTGTTGATACATTTTCCCTGACAAACACCATACCACTATCTAGCATTCTTTCCATTTCTATCCCTTACTTTACAGCATCGTGCTGTTTGATTTATCTGGTTTAATTCTCTCTTCCTCAACGTAATTGTGAAATTCAGGTATCTACGGGCAGCTGTACCATTTCTGCTGCCAAATGAAGTGTAAGAAGTTTTAAATCCCATATTCACTTTGTGATTACTTTAACTCCCTCTCTGCACATAGAAATGAGTATATTTATATCCGTAAATATTTAGATAGAAAATTTCCTGTTTCATTATGTTATTTTTGGTTAAACATCTTTACCTGATTAATAGAGCTATGTGAATATTTCCCAACTGGAAAGGCAGATGAAGAAGGAAGGGAAGAAAAGGGAGACTAACACACACCGATGATCTGCAATGGCTCTGGTAATGTTCTAGGTATTTTACAGAAATTATGCTGTATAGCTCTCAACAACCCTGGTAGGTAGATATCAGCAGCAGCACTTTACATATGGGAAAACAGAGGTTTACAAAGTTAAAATACCTTACGCAAAGTCATAATGAATGATAGAAATGAGATTCAAGCAGAAGCCAAACTCCAAAGCCCCTTCTCTTACCATTATAGCATAGGAAATCGTATGTAGGGTAAGGGTAGGAATAGATACCTATCAGATTCTTGGGCTGCCATGGTATGGATGGGAAGATACAATGAAAGGAACCCTCCAAAATCTCGGAACTGTTGCAGGGACAAGGAGAGGTAGCATAACTGGCTGAGGGTACTTATTGATTGGCATGCTGCAGAGATAAACTTCCTGCTGCTCTCTGCAGTTCTTTATTACCCTTAGGAGACATGCATGTTTCCTGCACCTTAAACTAAGAAGGCAAGGAATGACAAAGTCAGGTGACACGCTTCCGGATGCTAAATGAATCACCCACAAAACCAGAACTAGAGCTTCAAACCTCTCACTCTGTTATGACAGCATTAAGTCAGGGCTGACTCCACTTCCCTGAATTCCTGGACTGCTCAGCTCTGAACAATGCTGACCCACTCCCTAGGGAGGGGAACCTGCCCTTGGATCCTGGCTGTGCAGCATGAGGCAGGAGGTTATGTGTTCCCAGAGGTGTCTTTTTCCTCTTGCCAGGAGTTTGCTATTGTTTACCGAGAATTACATTCTGCATCTAGAACTTTTACACTGACGCACCTTGTACAGCACAGCACTGAGGTAAACAGCAGCTGAGTTAATTTTCTGATAGTGAAACCTCCTGTCCATATCTCTCTGTCTGGCTGGGTATGGGACTCATTTATCAGAGAATGAGAAAGTGTGTGTGTGTATATGTGTTCCTACAGCCTGTTGTAGTCTGTCCTCCTTCAGTCCTCCTCAGCTTGGTCCCTTCTCTCTGCCAGAGGGCAGTGTGTTAGACAGGCTGGAAGACTGGCCAGAAAACAAAGCAGATCTCCTCACTTGTCGGGGGTGACTTCCACAAGAGTTTTGGAGAACCCAAAATCTTCCCTTAGAAGGAAAAACCCAGCAGGCAGAGTACCAAAGAAGAGGACTGATCCTTGGAAATGCAAGGTCACTCACAGCAGTAGGAACAAGGTATTTGAAAGAAGCCCCAAGCCGTCTTCTGATGCGTTAATCAGGTAGGAAAAGGAGACAGGGATGGATCAGAGATCATCCTATGCTGAGCGGGGGTGGTGGTGTGTGTTCTTGGCTTTTCTTTCGCATTATGGCCCTTATTCTGAGCTTAGGAAGCTTAGGAGCTGGGAAAAGTGTTATTGATTAGGAATCTCAGGAAGAGGAAGGAATCAGCAGGAGAATATTTAATGTAAGATATACTATTTCTGGGCTTTTGAAGTTTGAAACTGGTAGATGAAGGGTTATGGAATTGGGCACATAAAAAAATAGCAAGACAACTATGATAAAAATAAGCTGTTTTGAATTTGTATAACACCTCAAAGGAAATAAAATGTGTTTATCTGTGAAACCATATTTAGAAATAAAATCTGATACCGTTTGGAGGTGTCTGTGAGCACTGCGTTTCTTACCTAGGTGTTATGGGGCCTGTCTTGCAATTACTTTGTTCCTCTACAAAGTAAACTTATATGAGGTACCAGGGTACAGATTAAGCTTCCTCATTTCAACTGTAGAACACCTTTGTTTAAGGAATCCCTGAAGATAGGTAAAAATAGGAAGCAAGAAAAGCTGATAGCGCTCAGATTTTATAATCTGTTGAGTACCATGAGTTAAAAGATCTTTTGAAACAGGCTCAGGACTCCTAGGCACCATGGTGGAAAGGGGTTACCCTGTGAGAACCCCCTTGAAACCCTTTCCTTAGGGTTTCAAAGTTCATTTGGATTCCTGGGTCTCTAGGAAGATGGAGGAGGGCAAAGATGATAATAAGCACAATTTCTCAGTACCCGAGAAGAGTAAGAGGGCCAGGTAACCACTCTTAGATACCCTTCTCCCTGCCTCTTCGACACTAGGAGATATCACAGGGCATTCGGCAAGGATCTACACAAATCTACTTCTCTGGATTTAAAAAGAATCACCTCTCCAGTGTGCCCTTTCATGTACTCTGTGTCCTCTCAGAGGTTTCCTTCCCTGGAAAGATAGAGCCTGGGGCACTGAGACAGCCAGGATGAAGATCCTAATTCCCAGGCCGGTGCTCTGTCCTCTGCAGTTTCACAGTGAAAGACTGCTAGTCCTAAGAACCAGACCTTTTTACTCAAAAAGCAGAAGATAGAAATAGGATTCGGGATCAGACCCAGGAACATGAACAAGGGAAACAACCCAAGACTGCATAATCTGGTGAATACTACCAAAAAAATTCTGATTCTACCTCTGTTTTCAGAATATACTTTAAAGACAAACATGCAAATGTCATCTGTGCCCCTATAAGCTTCCTGTATAAGTCACCCTTACAGGCAGATTCAATTCACCCATCTTTCCAAATTAGAGTGTAGTTGTTAGTAAAAGTTGGTTCAACCTTGTGGTTTCCATGATTCTTTTGGATTCTAATGTAATTCCTTCTTGGCCTTCTTGGTCTTGCTCATTTGAAAGACAAGTATATATGTAAAAGGAAATAGTATAAAGAACATTGGGTTTGTAAGTAAAAGACCTGGGTGTGCAACCTTGCTCTGCCTTTTTGTTTTTTTTTTTAAAGAAAGTGGTTAATTTATAACTTAATCACGAATTCATAACTTAATCCCTCAGTGTCTGCCTTGCCTTCTTTTTATGAAAGTGCCTAGCACAACAGCTGACACACCATCGTTACTAAAGACAGTTTTATTAGATCTTAAAACAGGAAGCTTGTTTTTTAGGATGTTGGTGACGAGTAATTCTCAGATTCTCTAGATCTGAGCACTGTTCTCTCACTTACAAATTAATATGTTCAGTCCATTAAACATGTTTTTTGTTTATTTGGTTTTGTTTTGTTTTTTTGTTTTTGTCTTTTTTTTTCAGGTAGCTCAAGGGTAAGGATGAAAGACTAACTGTATGAGCTAGGAGCTTGCATAGTTTCTCCTTGTTTCTGGCTAGGAGCTGCTGCCTCCACATATTTTACCCTCCTCAGTTTTAGTCTTGAGTCCTCTGCCCCCAGCCCAAAGTCATTAATCACTTTTTTGACCATATGGCATCCACTTGGGAGGGTACGTCACTTGTCTATCTAAAAAAACGTAACTGGAAGATCCACGTGCATTGATAAGCAAGTAGTAAGGTTGAAGGTGAGGCGGACACAACAGATTTAATTGTACCTTACTAGAATGGGGCCAGATGTTATACTGAGTTCAATCATGGAATTTTTCACAACACGTAAGCAGAGTACAGGAAATCTAATTTTAGAAGTCTTATATCTAGGTATATTTTGGTAAGAGGAGTTTATTCTGGAAAGTCATGGGTAAATTGCAGATTGTGTCCCAGAGACTGTATTGTGCTAACTGAACAGAAATGCCGCTTAATAACAGTTGTGTCATTGTTGCAAACAGAATATAGTCTGGATTAAAATAGATGCATAAATGCCATGTGACATTATGCTTGTAGGTATAAAATTTGGGGAATTAATATTACTATTAAGTTCAATTTCATTATGGTTATGTTCATGAACTTTTATGGTCTTCAGACCAGATAGTCTTGTAAAGGTGTAGCACGGAGTTTACTGCTCATTTCACTTTCATTCTCTTCCTTTTTGTATCTCCTTCATTGTGCTGTTTCTCCTCAGGATTCTCAATTAAAGAGGGAAGTTAAACCTTTTAACATGCTAGAGAAAGTCTGAAGCAACTGACGAGAGAAAAACTAAGGAATGATAACTACAAGTGAGGCAATCCTATTGTTCCAATTAGAACCCTGCCTGAAGAGATTTGACTCTGTAGATATAGGAATATGTAAACTAGTGGCAAACTATATACAATCACATTTTGCAACTATCAAACATAGTTATCAGAATAAAATAAATTACAATTTCACCAGACCCTTGATTCTAGTGCATGAATTTCATTATTCATGACATTAAATAGAGAACTGCGGATAATGGTTTATAGTGTTTAGAATTTTACAGCTCAGCTAAGAGAAGAAGCAGTAGCCTACATATTTTATTTTTAACATAGTGTGAAAAGTATTTAGATATAATGAAAGGAGCACAGTATTGGTCAGGTTGAACAGGAATCTTAGCCAGAAGTATTCTCCTAGTAGTCAGGTGGGCCAGAATTGAACCCACGGGAAAATTCATCCTAGAAGGTTTTGGCATCAAGGCACGCCTTTTCTCAGCTTGGCAGAGTGTCCAGGCAAAGCCATGTGGTTTCTGAGTATGAATTTCAAAGAAAAAAGTCATCTAGAGAGGAATATTGCTGTTACAAGTAAATGTAAGTGTCCTCTGATGTATGAGCTCTGGTGGCCTCTGTCTGGTGAGTTTCCCACATTGGCTTTCATGGATATGTATGGGTATGCCTGGTGTGTATGCCTTAAAAATCCTAGGCTCATCTGGTACATTCCATATGCCTCTACCTAAACTGTAACCATTAGAAAGGGCTTACTGTATACACACTGTCAGATCTCCACATGCAAGCCTGGAGCCTGAAGGTCTGAAGTCCTGCCTGTCCTGGCTGATGTCTCCCACCCTCTGCCTGCATTCTCCATTGTCCCTGATCGCACAGCCGAGCTTTCCCGGACAAGTCCCTCACCCAACCCTGCCATCTTGACTGTTCTTCTGATAATGTAAATAGCTCTCACCCAACCCTGCCATTGTAACTGACCTTGTGGTCATGTATACTCCTTGCCCCTACCCCCCAAAAATACCCCAACCTATAAAGCCAATTCCCACCTTAGCCGCTTCACCTGTCCTTTCTCAGATTCCGCCCACTTGCACCCAAGCAAGACATAAAACAGCCTTGTTGCCCACACAAAGCCTGTTTGGAAGATCTCTTCATTAAATGCACTTAATATTCGGTACTATTGGACACGAATAACACACGCCTGGAAAGCAATTTCACTGAGTGGGCCTCATCACTCTATACATTAATCTCCTTGCTCTAGCATCCAATTGCATTGGGTTGCTAGGTATTAATATGCCTTGTTTTATTTGTACTGACATACAAATAAAAGTGATGGTGAGAACCTGGCTCAGGAAATGCAATAGCAGGCCATATTGCATCCAAAGGTGAGTGCTCTGTAATAGGTGCGATAGTCAGTGTAAGGGTATAAGCATGAGTTTGAGTTATCAGGGACAGGTGCGTTTGGCCAGGAGCCTATCGCTGAGTATGGGTGACCCTCCATGAGTGGTTCTGTATGGGGATACACGTGCACACATGGCTTTGAATGACTCCCTTCAGTATGTATTAGCGGGTTTATCGTTTGTTTTCTGGGTAGAGCTCACGAGTCTGAACTAGCTGCTGACTGACCCTTTTCTCCACGTGTGCGATGGTTAGATAGAGTGTGCCCAGAGAACCTCCTTCCCAGAAAGCCAAACTGGTTAAACTGGCTGCTCCCTGAATGAAAATAATTACTTCTGATAATCCAGTAAAAAGGAAGCAAACAAAAGAAAAATAAGAGTGAGAATAGCAGTGATAAATCTTCTTACAGCCTCCAGGAGGTCAGCCTGCTGATGCAATGTTTTCTTTTTCAGACCTTCTTCTTTGTGCGCCCTCTCAAGGCTTTGTTTCTTTACAGTTTCATCACTAGTGCCTGTCGTTCCCTGTGGCCTCGAGAATTGTGGAAACTTCCTCAGCCACCTTTCTCCTTGCCTTTTTGGTAGAGGAATAGTTAGATAGCAAAGTCCACCGCATCCAGTGAACTTTGCTATCTAACTGTTCATCGACGTCTTAGCTCCCATTCTATGTGCAAACCCACAGAGAAGAATTCCCCTCGTCTGTGCAATTTTCCACCCACTGGCTCCTTTGCTGTTCACCTGGGCTCTGTCAACCAACCACACACTTTGTCTCTCTTGAGTTGTAAGGGAATTGTTTAGCTATTGAACAAGTTCATGGTGCTCCAGGAAGAAGAAAACCAGTAAGGCAGAATTTGGGAGGCTTCTTTACGTAAGTCTTTCAGGCACTGAGAGACTCTGCCTCAGTAAATAACATTGTGGTTATTGGTAATAAAACAATGCATAATGCAATGATAGAGGACAGCATACGTAAGTCTTTCAGGCACTGAGAGATTCTGCCTCAGTAAATAACATTGTGGTTATTGGTAATAAAACAATGCATAATGCAATGATAGAGGACAGCATAATGTGGCTAATTTAACACCTGGACCATATAGTAGCATATTATATAAGCTATACTTCTGATTTGTGTTTTATGTTTTTATCAAGTCACTACAAAACTGGATCACATATTTAGAATGATATTCCAAAATGAAATATCATTTTGGAGAGGTATGGAAGAGTAGTAAACATGAGTCTCTTTGGAAAGAAGGAACCAAATTTCTGGGGGTGTTACTGAAATATGTACTGATTATGTTATATACACTAACAGAGATACACGTAAAGAATCCCTTGCCAGACAAACAAGACACTGACAACTAGAGTCTATTGGAGGAGAATTAACAACTTGATAAATGGAGAAGAATCTGGTGGGAGAAATATTTTTATGCCATACAATTTAACATTTCCATTTTTTGAATCACATGAATGCATTTTCTATTTATTTGAAAGAGGAAGAGAAAGAGACGGTGACTTGGTACTGATACTCCCTTTATATCCTGGTAGGAATGAGTGTCCATGTCTATATCTGATATGAGCAGGGCAAGCACCTTGAAGCTCTGAAGGATGAGGAATTAAACAGTTTCTATTGATAAATGCTGTCTGTTCATTGCTTGTGAGGGTGCGGGTATTCCAGAGAAAGAAAGCAAATGTGTAACTTATATCCTTTGACATCCGTCAATTTTTTATTCATTGTCTGAATTAACTGTATCTAAAAATGAAATTAAATGTTTTGTTTAGAGTTAGGCATGGTAGCTCATGCCTGTAATTCCAGAGACTCGGGGGGCTGAGGCAGGAGGATTACTTGAGCCCAAGAGTTTGAGACTTGAATGAGCCGGGATCACACCACTGCACTTAAGCTTGAACTACAGTCCAAGGTCCCAACTTTGAAAACGTTTTGCTTAAAAAGTGTAATGCCCAGCTAAAAAAATATATTAGACATGCTTAAGACTGTAGGGGAGGCAGATCATGCCCACATAACCCATGGATCACAGTTGTTCAGAGGGACGTTGTGATTCTGTAACTGATCATGGGAGCAGAAGTCTCAGGTGGGAGGAGACACTTCCAAATAATTTCAGTAGCAATCGAATAAAAGGACAAGACCAGATCAGAGCTGTCTTTACTGTATAATAGAGAAGCGAGAAATGCTGAGAGGAGGAGGAGGTTGGGAGTGTTCTTCCAGCCTGAAAATCAGCTAAATAAAGAGACATAAATGGATGACTCAGAGAGGTAGCCGTTTACTTAACTAGTGATCTGTAGAGGCAGTTTAAATTTCTGTGTGTGCTCCATTTTATTTTATTTTTCGAGAACCATTCAATCCTTAGGAATTACTCACAGCTGTGCTCTGTGCATTCTTTGTGGGCCTAGCAGGGAAGAAGACATCCCCGTGGCAATGGGCGATGAGAGGGGCATGACACGGATGCTCCTGGAATGCGGTCTCAATGACAAGTTGTGTGGTAAGTACAGATTCCACAGATGTCTATCCTCTGAATTTAGAATTACGAAGGCTAAGGTCTGGATTGATTCTAGAAGGAGGATGATTTGATTTCCAGTAGAAATGAAGACAGTGGTGATAAAAGGGTGGGGTCTAGAGGCCCTTGTCTTTTTGGGGAGAGGGTAAGTGCTAATCAGAGATCCAGATGCTGCATCTTCAGTTTTGGTAGGAAAACTGCCAGAAGCAGCGTCATGCACACTTGAAGGGCTAAGAAACAGGGCCACTGGAGTTTCTGATTAGAGAGTCGCTCCCAGCAGTGTTTCTGTTTAATGGAAATAGAGGGGAAGGTAGAAGAGATGACTTTTTCATGTACGATGAGCTGAGAGCTGGCGGGTAGGGGAAATTGCACGAACACCAGGTGAGGCTTCTTCATTCTCTTCTCTTCCTGTGTGATCGCCTACCCAGTCATCCAGGAGAAGCAGTACGAAGTGATTATCGTCCCAACTTTCTTGGTTACTATCTTCCTCATCCTTCTTGGGGTCATCCTGTGGCTTTTTATGAGAGAACAAAGAACTCAACAGCAGCGTCCTGGACCTCAAGGTAAAAAGCTCAGACTTTGGGGCTGGGCAGGAGCTTAGAGAAGATGGAGATTAGGAAAAAATATGGTCCAGGTTTCAATGAGCCCATGTCTATAAGTCTGAGGACCTGCAGTGAGAGAGGCATGCGTTCCCTCCTGTGGCGTTAAGGCCGGGTATCTCTTTTCTAAGAAGTCCTGAGTTGGAATTCAACACATGCTTATTGACTGAAAAAAGAGTGTGCAGGAAAACCTCATATAACCTGTTTCATTTCCTATTGGACTATCCAAATTTTGACTATATGAGTGCCCAAGGACTTAGGAGAAAGACCTATAAAGTCCACGGCTTCATTAGCATCCTAGGAGGATGACATTTCACCCCATTTCATTCCATTCCTACTCTTTACCTCCAGGATATATGATGGAAAGGAGCGGCCTTCATATTGTAATAGTCCTTGAAGTGCCAAGTAGGAGATGATAACAGGCTGTTCTGGAGTTCCACTGAGCATTTAATAAAAGGAAATCAGTTTATACATGAAACTAAGGGTAAAAAGAAGGAAAAAGAAACTCTCATAATGATATGCAGCTCTATAGTGGTTGATCCTCAGTTTTCCTTTAAATTTTATCCCAATTCTCACTTTGCTTTTATAGAAAACTTCTCAAACAAGTTGTCTAAACTCACTCCTGCTACTTCTACTCATCACATTCTCTTTTGAACTCACTAAATTAAGTTTTTTTCTCTATCATTTCACCAAAACAAGCCCTTCCAAGCTCACAGGGAGAGCTGTGTTGACAAGCCCAGTGGTCAAGCCTTAGTCTTCGTCTTACTTGATCTGTCAAAAGCATTTGAAACAATTTTGAACTTTTTCTATCATGAAATACTTAAAAGAACTAAAACCACTTCCTACCTGGGATGATTTTTAGTCTTACGGATTCAAATACATTTTCTATTCCAATGATATTCCCTTGAACTCAATTCTCATATTAAACCACTTACTGTACAGTTTTAATAGAATAGAAATCTCATGTGTAATATGCCCAAAACAAAGGTCCTGAAATTCTCTCACAAATGTCCTCCCCAAATAGCCTTGCCTGTCTTAGAAAATGCAAGTCCTGTCTTCTATGTTTTCATCCTCAAACCTTGAAGTTATCCTGAACTCCCTTCTTTCCCTCACAGTTCATATCTAATTCATAAGCAAACACTGTTACTCTATTTTAAAAATAAACCCGTTATCTCACCTTTCACAGATCACTGCAAGACACCCCTAACGACCTGCTTCTGCCCCTACTCCTTTATAGAGAGGCCAGAAGTAGTCTTTTAACACAGTCAGTAATTATCTGCTTGAAATCTCTCTGCCACACACACACACACACATGTAGTAGCTTGCCATCTTGCTCAGAATGAAAAATGACAAATTCTTTCCATGGCCTTACATGATCTGCTCCTCCCTGGCCTTATCTCCTACTACTCTTCAACAATCCCACTTGGCTCCAGCTACACTGGCTTCCTTGCTGTTTCTCAGCCATTCCAGGTATGCTCCCTGCTTAAAGCCTTTGCAATTTTTGCTCCCTTTGCCTACAATACTCTTCCTGACATCAGCACGATTTGCTCCCTAGTTGCTTCCAGCCCTTTCTCAAATGTTATCTCATCAGAAAGGCCTTTCTTGACCTTCATATGTAATATGGGTGATTGATGCTTCTTCTCCCCACCTTTGTTTTTAAAAAAAGATGGAGTCTGGCTACGTTGCTCAGGCTGGACAGTAATTCCTGGGCTCAGGAGATCCTCCTGCCTTGGCCTCCCCAATAGTGGGGATTACAGGCTCATGGCACCACACTCAGCTCCTTCTCCTTCCTTTATTTTCCTCCACAATATTAATTGCCTGACATATTATTAGCTGTTTCCTCTCCCCTACCGCTAGAAAGTAATTTTCAGGTGAATCTGTACTTTCCCTGTTCCCAACACCGAGAACAGCACATGGCATGTTAATAGGTGACATTTGTTGAATAAATGGATGAATTAATGAATAAATATAGGTTTAATAACAGGATGAACATCTCTTTTTTCTGGCAAAGGGAGGGAGAAAGTACCAGAAGACTTTTTTGACAAAGACTCAAGGAAATATGAAATAATTTGACTTTTGGGGCAACTTGATGGAGGAAGAATAGCCATAGCTTGAAGCTGATTAATTATCCATACCTTTCCTTTGAAAGCCATTTGTCTGACTTAAATGACAGTTCTCAGTGGCAGTTACCTCCACCTTTAGGCATCTGTGGTTTGGATACCAATCAGGAACTTTCCTGATTGTCTCCATACCACCCTCATGGGGACTGCTCAACTGTAACCCTGAAGAAGACAGAAAGGAAGTGTCATGAGCACTTTCCTGGGGTCCTTCTTGAGTTGTCCTAAGAAGTACTGAGGATTATTATAAGGTTCTACAATCTTGGCATTGATGCTGGTTTATAGAGAAGCATCAGAAGACAGCTCCACATTGGCCAGAGAGAAAACTGCTGAAGGAACTTCCTGCCAATTTGTTTCAGGCTCTCTGCTTTCTGGGAATCCCCAGGGCAGGGAAAAACTGGTGACATCATCTCTCTGTTCTAGACATTGCCCCTGTCCCTCCATCTAGGGACCTAAGCTGGGAAGCAGCTGGATGTGGAGGAAATGTGGCTTTGCCACTTAAGGAGACATCTGTGGAAAACTTTCTGGGAGCTACCACACCTGCCCTGGCTAAGCTGGAGGTGCCCCGGGAGCAACTCTCTGAAGTTCTGGAGCAGATTTGCAATGGTAGCTGTGGGCCCATCTTTCGAGCCAGTATGAACACTGGAGACCCTTCTAAGCCCAAGAGCGTTATTCTCAAAGCTTTAAAAGGTAAAACAAGAAGCGTTTCATCCCCAGTTCCCTGACAGTAAATAGTAACAGGATTTGCGAACATTGAGATGCTAATCAACAGATAGTTGTGATCGCAACTGGGTACGAAAGAAGGAAATACAGAGTGGGACCTTGAGACAGAAATGTTCTCCTTGGTGTCTTTTTAAAAAACTTATACAAATTGCTTATTTGTGGATCTTCACCTACATCTACAAATAATAACTAAAATGACTACCACAGATAAGTATAATGGTATGATGAGTAAGATGTTAGCTGTGGGTTTTCACGCAGTCTTCATTGTGTTGAGGTACTATGTTTTCACACACATTAATTTCTTGTATTTTTTATAATAATTTTCTGATCCTGAGGCTTCTAAATCAGTAAAATGGGAGTAATAATTATTATTAAAAATACAAGAAATTATGTATGTGAAAACATAGCAGTGGTTGGTACGAGTGAGCACACAAAATGGCAGCTGTTATAATGATAATTACAAACAACATGAGTTTGTGTAGTGTTTTTATAATGAAAGGCTACTGGATTTTATCAAATGCCTTTTCTGCATTGATTGAAATGATCATATGCTGTTTATCCTTTATTCCGTTACTGTGGTATGTCACAGAATTGATTTGCATATGCTGAAACCTCTTTGCATCCCGACTCATCTTTGCCTATTGAGGCTGTTAAAACTGATTTTTTCACAATGAATGTTACTTGAACTAGGATTCTGTGGTTGTTTCCTCATTTCACTTTACTCTTTGATACCCTTTCCTGATATGATATTTCTTTCCTTTTTTTTTGAGACAGAGTTTCACTCTTGTCACCCAGGCTGGAGTGCAGGGTATGATCTAGGCTCATGGCAACCTTCACCTCCCAGGTTTAAGCGATTCTTCTGCCTTAGCCTCCCAGGTAGCTGGGATTATAGGCATGTGCCACCATGCCCAGCTAATTTTTGTATTATTAGTAAAGACGGGGTTTCACTATATTTGCCAGGCTGGTCTTGAACTCCTGACCTTAGGTGATCCAATTCCCTTGGCCTCCCAAAGTGCTGGAATTGCAGGTATGAGCCACTGAGCCCAGCTGATATTATATTTCTTTCTCTGTCTCTCTATCTCTTCTTCGTGATACGGGCCAGTAATGATGGATACATAGAACAAGGATAAGACAAGCAAGGATATTAATCCAAAGGCCTAGACAGTGAGAACTTTTTAATGCAAACAGACTATCTCTCTATTTAGGCAGATGAAAGCCTATCTGGTTCTAATAATTATGATTCCGTGTTACCTTTGATAAAAGTTCAGAGACATTAAGCATCATCTTTTTCTAATGGGTCCCCTTTGTATTTATTTTTGCCTGCACTCACTCCCACGTAGGGCCTTAAGAATTACTATCTTAAGTTGTTACCTGCCCCCTGCCTCCCACTCATTGAGGATGCGCTGACTTCTTACTGCCTGGCTCTTCTGTCCTCTACAGAACCAGCTGGGCTCCATGAGGTACAGGATTTCTTGGGGCGAGTCCAATTCCATCAATACCTGGGGAAACACAAGAACCTGGTGCAGCTGGAAGGCTGCTGCACCGAAAAGCTGCCACTCTATATGGTGTTGGAGGATGTGGCCCATGGGGACCTGCTCAGCTTTCTCTGGACCTGTCGCCGGGTGAGCAGTAGCATAGAGGTATTAGGAAGTTAAGGCTTGACCTTGTTGATTAGCTTTTCACATGTCAATTAGTGTGACAAATGACAAAATGCAGAGACATTATAATAGCATGACAGAATAATTGATTATCACCATCTAATAGAACTTTTTGTAATTATAGAAATGTTCCATAACTGCTCCTTTCAATATAAGCCGCAGATCACAGACTGATCAGCTTTCAAGGTTTCTGGACACTTGAAATGTGACTGATGTGATGGAGAAACTAAATTTAAAATTTTATTTAATTTTAAATAATGTAAGTTGAAATAGCCACATGTGGCTAATGAGCACTGAGTGGACAGTGCAAGTTTAGAGCACGGACTTTGGGCTCCTCCTCCTGCTAGTGATGTGACTGAGCAAGTCCCCTTTCTGATCCTGAGGCTTCTAAATTAGTACAATGGGAGTCACAATTATTATAAAAAATACAAGAAATTATGTATGTGAACACATAGCAGTGATTGGTACAGAGTAAGCACTCAAAATGGCAGCTGTTATAATGATAATTACATGACACATGAGTATTTTTGGTAACGGTTATAATTTTGTTGTTGTTACTGTGTTTTCCATTCTGTAACATCACCATAGTATGGTAGGGCAAACTCAGGGAGAAGTTTAGCTGGTAAAGCTTTTGTACTTCAAACTCGTGTTTTTTAAAATTAAAATATTCAGAAATTTCTAGCCTCAAATGGATGTCCCTTTCTTTAAAATTTCCCTTGTTCTGAAAATGTGGCACATATACACCATGGAATATTTGCAGCCATCAAAAACGATGAGTTCGTGTCCTTTGTAGGGACATGGATGAACCTGGAGACCATCATTCTCAGCAAACTGACACAAGAACAGAAAATGAAATACTGCATGTTCTCACTCATAGGCAGGTGTTGAACAATGAGAACACATGGACACAGGAAGGGGAGCACTACACACTGGGGTCTGTTGGGGGGAATGGGGAGGGACAGTGGGGGGTGGGGAGTTGGGAGGAGATAGCATGGGGAGAAATGCCAGATATAGGTGAAGGGGAGGAAGGCAGCAAATCACACTGCCACCTGTGTACCTATGCAACTGTCTTGCATGTTCTTCACATGTACCCCAAAACCTAAAATGCAATAAAAAAAAATTTCCCTTGTTCTGTATTCCTCCATTAGCCCTACTTTCTCAGCTTGCTGGTGGGCAAGTTCAATATTCATTGAACCTCCTTAATATGCTGAGTATTGTACAACTGAATATGTATGAGAAAGGGACCCGGTTATTGTCTTCCACCCAGTGTTGTCAACAGCACAATGTGCAAGTATTTCGGCATTTTAAACTTTTTAAAGAGGTCGCTCATCTAAAACTTGTTTTGTGCTCTAACTGCACTAGCTTCTTTCCATTTTTCAAAAATACCATGTGTTTCTATTTCAGATTATCTTCATATGTTTTTCTTGTTCCACCAAACTTCTCCCTTCTGTCCTTTTTATAGTTAGTGTCTACTCATCCTTCAGATCTCATCAAACACTTTCCCCGTCCCTCCAACTGAATCCACTCTCTTCTGCCCACCATCATATGCTCTCTTGGCACTTTGTACATCTCCTTTATGGCACTTACAGATATGTAACCATTTATTTATGTATGATTATTTGATTTTGATTCACATGCGTCTGCCACACAACAAGCTCCAGAAGGCAGCAGCCATGCTATTTTACTCATGCTTGTATTTCAAGTTTCTAACATGAAATGAGGGACATTTCAGGCATTCAGTAAAGATGCATTGAGTTAATGTACTAAATTAATTATGAGCATGTGTGTGCTCCTGTGTGCGTATGCACATGTGCATACACACAGAGCCCCAGAAAATTTGCTGCTTTATTCAGTGGATAGTCTTATTTATACTTGTCTCCCTTACCTGCTATTCATCTATGTCTGTCATTGTTTTTCCAGTCCAATGGATCATTTTATTTATCTGCCTATCCCCACATCAGCCTCACTTTGAACATTAATTCTTATATTTTCTTAGCTTTGATAACTGCATTTCAGAGTATCTCTGCCCAACTTTATTTCTTTTCCAAATCTGTTCGTGCCATTTTGATATAACGTTTTTTTTTCCTCCGTCTCTTTAGGATGTGATGACCATGGATGGTCTTCTCTATGATCTCACAGAAAAACAAGTATATCACATCGGAAAGCAGGTCCTTTTGGCTCTGGTAAGATGAGGCAAAATGACAACTGATGGTGTGACATTTCCTTGTTAGCCTTGTTTTTGATGCCATCTTTCTCATATTCATATTCTCAAGTAGTGTATATGTTTCAAAGAAAAGTAGATAGAAATTAGAGGGCAAACACTCGGCATGAATAAATTGTTATTAGTCCCTTCTTTGGGGATGTATCTAGACAATTTACTACACTATTGGTAATTTCAGGAAGAAAGTGGTTAACTTAGGGTTGATACAAGGAACAAGAAGGATTTTAAAGATTTTTCAGTCTTTAAAGTCAACAGCCAGGGCCCAGAGGTATGCGCCCGTTTACCTGATACTCTTACATCCCCATATGTACTAATAATAGACGTAAAAGAGACAGGTAGGGAAGCAAGTAGGGAGAAGATATGGAAAGAGAAACTGAATGGGTGAAAGGCTGCAGACCTAGAAGGAAGTAGCAATTTTACACCTGAAAAACAAGAAAAACTAGTTCAGAGCATGTTTGCTTGGAGACTTGCTTTGATACTGAGTGTGATAGGGAGTACATATAATTATAAAATGATTAAGGAACAAGTGAAAGAGGAGCAGTGAGAAGAGCAACAGCTGGATCGTTCCTTTATTTTAAACCAACTTAAATAAAGAGGTAAGAGAAAGAACTCAGGGTTTAAGATGTTTAAGATTAAAAATTTACCTTTACCAGAATTACCCAGGAAGTTTATATGTCTATTTCTGTGAAACTATTTATATAGCTGTGTTTAAAATTAACATTTTCTATGGAAAATCGGGGCTCTGTGAAGCTACTGTTTTAAGAATTTGTTGTATCTTGCTACCTCAAGGGGTGAAATATACCAGGGATCTAGGTGGAATCAGGAAAAGGTTAGAAAAAAAAATTAAGGTGGATAAAGGAGTCATAACTATGGTTGAAGCACCCATGGGACAAGGGAGAGTACACAGCATATATATGAATATTGTCTATGGTGTTAGGGTGGCCTGGTGGGTGTGTTCCCTTGGTAAAAGGTCAGGATATAGCCTAACCTGTACTCAGAACTGCAATCGCAGAGGTGCCGCCCAGAGATGAATTGTTCAAATCGGTGCATGCATCAGGACCCTATGCTACCTGCTACAAGGCAATATCATACTACTTTTTCTTGCCTTAACAACCTCAAAGTCAGTTACATTCTTTAATTCTTATCATGGCAGTATTGTTTCTTATTTTAAAGCTTCACCAGACACAGAAAACTGCTAGTTTTCTCTGTCATCAATGATTGGAAATTATCACCTTTACCTTTTAATTTTCTTTTTTTTTCTTTTTTTTTTTTCCCGAGACGGAGTTTCACACTTGTTACCCAGGCTGGAGTGCAATGGCGCGATCTCGGCTCACCGCAACCTCCGCCTCCTGGGTTCAGGCAATTCTCCTGCCTCTGCCTCCTGAGTAGCTGGGATTACAGGCAGGCACCACCATGCCCAGCTAATTTTTTTGGTGTATTTTTAGTAGAGACGGGGTTTCACCATGTTGACCAGGATAGTCTCGATCTCTTGACCTCGTGATTCACCCGCCTCGGCCTCCCAAAGTGCTGGGATTACAGGCTTGAGCCACCGCACTCGGCCTACCTTTTAATCTTCTATACCATCCTTCTTTAGTAATCACAGCCCTCAATCTCCAGATCTTCAGTCATGTATAGTTTTGCAACTTCTCCTTAAGCCTTAAATAGTTTGATACCAGAGGAAATGACAGCACGCATCAGTTACCATAGGGTGCCGTGGCTCTCCAATGCTTTGCTGACTGGACTAGAGTTTGATATTTCTTAAAAATATAGGTTACCAGGTCTTTCTTCCTACATTTTGGTTTAGTAAATCTGGAGTGAAAATCTTATGTTTAAAAAACTCTCAGGCAATTCCAATATGCAGACCGACTTGAGAATTTGTAGTAGAGTTTGTATAGTACGTCCTACGAATTATAATACCTGGTTCCGGTCACTATCACTTAATAACCCTGTGTGGTCTTTTATAATCATTTAGATTATCTAAAAGAGAATTTCCAAATTCAACTCATGCAGTTATTTTGGGGAAAAATTATATGTATATATATATATATATAATCTACTGACAGAAACTTGGAATCTACTCCCTTCTCCAGTGTCTAGCTGGGAAAGGAAAATCAAGCAGGGGTCAGTGTTTGACACAGAGTGGGTAATTTTATTTTCAAAATCCAGTATTAATGTCATTTGAATTATTTTCTCAGTTTGGTAATCTTAAACACAATGCAGAAACGTGTGATTCATTCGCATGCTTTGGAAGTGACATACCATTATGAGTGGGATTTGTTCAGAGTCGAAAACGTCCTTGTGTTTTTGAAGATTCCTAGAACTGCCTCTCCTTGTTTGTGACCCAAGCTGTGACCTCAGACAACTGATCATATTTGATTTTATACTGATAGGAATTCCTGCAGGATAAGCATTTGTTCCATGGGGATGTGGCAGCCAGGAATATCTTGATCCAAAGTGATCTCACTGCTAAGCTCTGTGGATTGGGCCTGGCTTATGAAGTTTACACCCGAGGGACCATCTCTTCTCAAACCATACCTCTCAAGTGGCTTGCCCCAGAACGGCTTCTCCTAAGACCTGCTGGCATCAAAGCAGATGTGTAAGGTTTATTCCTGGACTCCGAGTTTACTTTCTTTGAGACTTGGGTGTTCTCCCTGAACATGATTTGATCTGTTGCCAATTATGTCTACAAATAAAATCTCTACCTAGAAATTAAACACACTCTCTCAAGCAGAAATGTTATGTGACAGAGTTCTTGTTTGTCATCTGTCTGCAATCCCTTTTGGTAACTTTTCTTTCCTTTTCTTTTATTAAGACAGGATCTCACTGTGTTGCCCAGGCTGAAGTGCAGTGGCATGATCACAGCTCACTGCAGCCTCCACCTCCTGGGCTCAAGCTATCCTTCTACCTCTGCCTCCCTAGAAGCTAGGACTACAGGCATGCACCACCACACTTGGCTAATTTTTTTTTTTTTTTTAATAGAGACAAGGTCTCACTTTGTTGCCCAGGCTGGGTTATCCTCTGACTTTGGCCTCCCAAAGTGCTGGGATTCAAGGCATGAGCCACCATGTCCAGCCTCAAGTATTTCTTCTGTATTAGATTACCAGTCTTAATTTGAAAAAAAAAAGTGAAAAGATTATTCACAGCAATATCTAAGGAATTAATCTAGTAAAGTCTCTTTTATCTAAAGGAGGTAGGTCCACTTAACCAAAAGGCCAGTTAAACCATAAATCGTTAAAATAAAAAGAAATATACATACCTTCAATCACTTATTTTAACATAAAACTTATAAATGTACATTCATCTATATGGTTTTATTGAAGGAGGGGCAAGGCTTCTTTTTATGAGGATGAGTCTCCCAAATGAAGTTATATGTTGTTTTTTTAATGTAAATAGTATCTGTAATGATTTCTTTTTGAGTTCCAGTTCAGGATGATTTTAAGTAGAGTGAGAAACTTGAAGATAATTGTGAAATTGTTTGACTGCAGAGCTTTAATGCTACTTTTCCCAATTTTTTACATTTGTTTCCCTCACACAATTTGGTAACACTTTATTTTTAGCAGTTTATTTTTATAAATAATTTTCAAAACATTCAACTTAGTTGGAAGGAAGATAACACTTTTTTGCATTTAATCAGTATATAAAATATTTAATTGATTACGTAACTACATATAATTACAATGACATGTAAAATTGGCATTAACAGGATCATAAAGAATCACATTTGACTTTTGGGAGCCATATAACTCAATTGCTTGGAGAAGTACATAGATGTGATGTAAAACATCCTACTCGCCATCAGTGTCATGAACAGCAGAGAAAACTTAGAATATCAGTTAATATGATGAGGCAGTTAGAGATTTCCATTGCTGCTTCACTGACAGCTGCTTTTCAACAGACATCTTGGGGCAATAAACTTAACCATAAAATATTAATCATTTAATAATGATATGACAGAATAGTGAACTGTGTATCTCTGAAATCATACTGCTTAGGCAAGTACCTATTCAGACTATGTACGAAGCTTGCTTTGTTAATATTTTTCCCAGGTTCGGGCAATTAAATCTACTAAGAAAATATTGACTAAATGATGAAACTTGCTTGGCTTTGCTCTAAGAGTAAAGGCTAGAATTTCAGCAGAGAGGGATGGGAAGGAAGAAAAAGATGCAGAGGGTGCTTTCTTTAGGTAAATATGCTTTTGTGATTACAGGCACTCACATTGGCAAATCATAATAAACGTCTATTAATTTAAAATGCAGGAAAATAAATAGAGATATAGCGCCAATCCTAAAAGAGATTCGAATCTATGGAAATTGAGCAGAAATGCCTTCTAATGGCAGTTATTCTGTTTTTCAAACACTCATCCTAGGTTCTCCTTTATTGCCTTTCTTATGGGGCTCTTACTAAAGACTTCTGACTCTTAGATTATCTCTCTTTAGAAAAAAGCAGAAATAGAAATTAAGTAGATGGCTTTGCTTCTTTTACAGATGGTCTTTTGGGATCCTGCTCTATGAGATGGTGACTCTAGGTAAGGATGAGCCCCCAAATAGTTTGTACCTATATGCAAATATGCAAGCTTGTTTATTTAGGGGGTGGATGATGATGTATGCTTTCAGAAAGGGTTTCAGTCCAGCTCTGAAGCTATTGAAGTGGACTGACATGTCGTCTAAGCCTGATTCCTGGGCTAGTCATATAAAGTGATTATTTTCTCCTTGCCCCACTCTCTTCTTCCTTGTCCTTCTTTGACCTTTCTTTTGCTCTCTTTCTCTTTCTTTACTCCAAAATATTACCAAATCCAAGGGAAGTTTTCAAATCCCAAGGACAATTCCCAGAGTGGTCTTGTATAAACATAAAAATGTTGACTTCAGACTTACTAATTCATTTGATTAAGAAACTGCACACTTTCGCATGTATGGGGAGTGGAGGACAGATCTTATGTCTTACTTTGTTTGATTTTATGTCTTATTTGATTACTTTCCTTTTTTGTTTGAGATGAAGTCTCACTCTGTAGCCCAGGCTGGAGTGCAGTGGCATGATCTCAGCTCACTGCAACCTCCACCTCTTGGGTTCAAGTGATTCTCCTGCCTCAGCCTCCCAAGTAGCTGGGACTATAGGCACCTGTCACCACATCCAGCTCACTTTTGTATTTTTAGTAGAGGCATAGTTTCATCATATTGGCCAAGCTGGTCTTGAACTCCTGACCTTGTGATCCGCCCACCTTGGCCTTCCAAAGTGCTGGGATTACAGGTGTGAGCCACCGCGCCCAGGCTTATTTGATTACTTTCTTAGATAGCCAAAATTCTCCTAATTTACCAGTGTTTTTTTTTCTCCAAAACACCTTTCCTCCCAATTCACTAAATTATATCTATATTTGATCACCAGGGAGCAATTGAATTTTATCTAACATTTTTCCTATGGCTATATCTTTTGCAAGCAACCAACCCAAGTGGATGAAGAATAGTGTCAGTTACAGTTCACATTTTAGAGGACCCTAAAGTTCTCATTATTTTCATAATGACAGGGGCACCACCGTATCCTGAAGTCCCTCCTACCAGCATCCTACAGCATCTCCAAAGAAGGAAAATCATGAAGAGACCCAGCAGCTGCACACATACCATGTAAGTGGTTTTTAAAGGCCTGCTCTTCTTTCATTTCAAATATTGTTTGGCCCTGTATCAATTGTGCCCTTTTCAAAGTGCTCAGATGATCCTTACCTGTCTATATGCACCAGTGTAGAGCTTTTAACCAAACCCACACAGTAAAATACTTCTATCTCATATATTATACATAATATATATGCATATACATACACAAACACACACACACTCACACATATACCCCCACCATACACTGAAAACTATATTATTAGGAACCTAATTTTATTATAGTTTAGTTCCATGGGAAGCTTCTAAAATAGGTAGCAAGTAGGCCGGGCGTGGTGGCTCAAGCCTGTAATCCCAGCACTCTGGGAGGCCGAGGCGGGTGGATCACAAGGTCAAGAGATTGAGACCATCCTGGTCAGCATGGTGAAACCCTGCCTCTACTAAAAATACAAAAAAAATTAGCTGGGCATGGTGGCGCGTGCCTGTAGTCCCAGCTACTCCGGAGGCTGAGGCAGGAGAATTGCCTGAACCCAGGAGGCGGAGGTTGCGGTGAGCTGAGATCGCGCCATTGCCCTCCAGCCTGGGTAACAAGAGTGAAACTCCGTCTCAAAAAAAGAAAAAAAAAAAAAATAGGTAGCAAGTAAACTAAACCCATTGCAGGTACAGTTGTGTTTAGTCTAAATGTCAGTTTTCTGCCAGCCACAGTCCAGACAGCTGTCATAAAATCCATTGCACTAGAGTTATTCATTCAGAGTGTGCCAGCTCTTATTTAGTATTTAACTTTTAAATTACTGTCTCCCTGTTTTTCCAGCTTTCAGTGTGATAAAAGGCAACCAGAAGAAGGGGAGATAAAAAGAAATTAGAAAGGGAGAAGGAGGATCCAATGTTGTCAGCAGATAGAGATGGTTGGTGAACCAACCTAGAGGCAGGAAATGGAAAAATTAAAAAGTATGGACTGTTATTACCAATGGAGTTGAAAAGAGAACTGCTATAGAATTTAAGAAAAGGTTAAATTGTCGATAAAAAGGCAGTAGAGAATATGTTCACATTTCTATTAGAATTGTTGCTATTTTGTAAGCTTTTCATCATTGAATAGGTAAATTTACAGTGCTTGGTTTTCCTTATGATAAACAATTGCTGTATTGAGCAGATCAAGTTTAAATATCTTAACTATATATAAGTATACACACACACACTGAGTGTAGTAATGAAGCTAGGTACAATAGAAAGGAATTGATGACAAACATTTCTATGTGTAAAAGGCTGTTCTTGATACTGGAAAAGACGCCTAACTGGCAAAATACCTGACCTGGTACCATGACCTCTGGGACTTGTAATCCAGCTTTGTCATCTGCGGTTCTAGCAGCAGATTCAAGGCACAAGCATAAAAGAATTAGATGAGGAGATATCTGAAACCTGCAAAATCAACCTCAAGTATGCAGTGGTATTCACGATTAAAAGCTCTGTCTCATATCAGAGTAAAAATGACACGTGTGTTCTGTTCCACCCAGCCCTGTTACTTTATTGCCCATTGATTACAATGTACAGCAAACAATGTCTAGTGATAAAACTGTCCTGTTATAGTCTAGTTTGGAAAATATTAAGTCGTTCCTATCATACAAGAGCACTTGTTAAGAAAGTGATATGAAGAGACTTGATATAAAAAAAATTGCAAAAGCAGGGTCAGGCCCGGTTAGTACTTGGATGGGAGACTGCCTGGGAATACCGGGTGCTGTAGGCTTTAAAAAAAAAAAAGACTGAGGAGTAGCACGCTTTGGGAAGAATACGAGTAACATGGAAAACAGAAGAAAATTAAAGAATTGCAGAGTTTTTTGGTTAAGGTTTGTGAGGAGAGGAGACAGGCTCCGCATACGTTTGCCTTGTCAAGGAAGTCAATTTCTCTTGTTTCCCTCTCAGGTATAATATTATGAAGTCCTGCTGGCGCTGGCATGAGGCTGGCCGCCCCTCACCTAGAGAGCTACGCTTGCGCCTAGAAGCTGCCGTTAGAACTGCAGATGACAAGGCTGTGTTACAAGTACCAGAGTTGGTGGTACCTGAACTGTATGCAGCTGTGGCCGGCATCAGAGTGGAAACCCTCTTTTACAATTATAGCATCCTTTGAAGAGTCCCAGACAAGAAACATTCATGCATGATTATATGTTCTTGGACTCAATTCCTCTAAGAACAGAGAATGGTGGTTCCAGGAGATACAAAGGGAGAAATGGAACATGGATTCTTGATCTTCCTTCGCACATTTCTCTGGAAATCTGAAATGACATTGGATGAGACTCTACGCACCATACACGCTGAGCTGAGACACATTTTCGGTCTCACTTCTGCTGCCCCGGTCCTAGAAGCACTGGGTGGAAGTGGTGGACATGTGCAAAAGAGGTTTTAGAACTCTGCAGTCTTTCTTGGGCATGACAGAAATAAGCTCATCCCTCCCATCCTAGGCTAGTTTTCTCTGGAACCACATTTTTATCTAGATGATTAAAAGGTCCAGAAAATTTGGAATGAAATGAAGGAATAGAAATCCAATAAAAGAGTTGAAGGGAAAGGAAATTTAAGGTTCTGCTTGCTCAGGATTACAGATGTGGACCAACACCTCCTTTGGAGAAAAGGTGGTAGGACACCTGATCCTTCTTCAGTCCTGATCCCTACCTATAGGGTTGGAAGAGAACTATAATCGAAAACCTCTGAGTTTCCCCTTAAGTTTAGATAAAACAAAGATGGTCCCCTTTTATCTGATTCTGAGACATGTAAACTCTGTTAGTACTTTTTAATGAGAAGGTGGAGGAGTCATTTCATGATTAAGAACATTCAACATGTATTGTTCATTGAACTAGCTTCCTAGTTCCGATTAGACTAAGGAGATTAAGCCTAGAGAGTCAATGTTAGAATAGTGATAAAAACGCTGTGTGTGCATGTGTGTGTGCACAATCAAGAGGGAATATAGACACTAAGCGAGAAGGCTTAGCAGCCCAGTCTTTAACAAGGGCTAGAAAAGAATGTCATCTTATATGGAAGGATAGTAGCTTCTCATTTTCAATCATCCATTGATATACTGTGAAACTTGTTTTATTAAATTAATATTTATTGAATGGAAATACGTTTTTCTGGTTTACAACTACTAAAAATCTCTGTCATGGGGAGGATACAATAAATGGAAGTTAATCTCAGTAGAAAAATGAAAAGGATTCTTTATGTGCAAATGAGGATAATATCTATCTCACAAGGTTGTTCTGAATATTGAGTATGTATTTGGACAGTATCAGGCACATATATGCTCAATAAATGTGCTTCTCCTTTTCTTTCGCCCTTCCTAACCCAGGACCTTTCATATATTTTTTCATTTAAAATCTACTGTGGCCAAGAAGGGAACCTCAGTCTGGAACACTGCAAGGCAGGACATGCCGAAAGTATGGCACAAGTATTAATTTTATACACGTGTAATGATGAAGTCATCATTTTTGCATGCTTTTGGATGATGCTGGTGAACTCATACTATTTCAGAATATTGAAAACATCATCATGAGGGAAGTTCTGCTGAACATGGTGGTCTGTGATTCTAAAGAACATCTTGGGTACCCTGGAAGGAGCATCTAAGGCTGCCGTAAGAAAGATGACTGGCGGCCAAAAATGTTGTAGAAGTTGGAATCCTGATGAGTCAGCTAAAGGAATAACGATTCTTACCTCTGAGAGAATACCACAATGACGAGTCAGGATTTAAATGGGTCGTAAGTTGCAGGAGAGAGAAGGGCGGAAAAATGGGTTCACACAAAATGACAAAGTCCTGTGGAATCTCATTGTTGCCTCTCATTTAAGTCAAAATTACAAAGTATTTCTTTATTTATCTGACCACTTAAAAATATTGAGTGTTAAGGCTTGCTGTGCTAGACGCTTGGCTAGGTGTAGGATAAAAGAAATAGGGAGATTTTGATTACACTCTAGAAGGTGAGACACGTTATACATTTTTTTGTGTGGGTATCTGTTAATTGCAAAGTGTTAAGTGCTATGAAGAAAAAGTACGTGATAGTAGAAGGGAGTTTAAAAGGAATACGTCCCTGAAAAGAAATGGACTAAACTGAGACCTTTGGGATGGGTAAGTAACCCAGGACGACAGAAGCGCCTCCCAGGAGGACATGTGTGTGTGAAAATCCTGAGGCAAGGAACTGAGAGGAAACATATGGGTTGCAGCACGGTGAGTTAAGGGAAAGTGGCACACAGTGAAATGGGAGGTTGCTTTTTTGTACTCTCATATTTGTTTCAGTAGGAGGGAAAGAAGCAGACGATTGACATTTAAATTTTTTATCCCCAATTTTATTTGTTTTTCTGGGGTGGAAAGCTGGATACAGTAATTTTTACTCTACGAAAACTGGGTCTTTCTCTCACTTGGCCAGGTTTTTTTCCAGAAGGAGGATGATATTTCTGGTACCTTTGACCTTTCAGCCAAACCGTGTTTCCAAACTAATGAATGAAAAGAGAAGCAAAATATTTATCATTCAATCAGGTTGACTCTAGATAGATTTTGTTGTATTGTTTTGATTGCCTTCTCTCCAGTCTTGTTTTTCCAATCTATGCTTTATTGTTAAAAAAACAAAAATTCCAGCACTTAGGAACAAAGCAAACACCCACCTAGATACAGTGCATAAGGGAAACTTCGCAATATCATTTAAAATAGAATAGTCTAAACCAGTAGTTCTCAAATTATGCTCATAGAGAACAGTATGATTTTCATTACAGATTTAGGTATTCTGTTATTAAAAATTAAATAATAGTGGTCACTTTTTTACCATTTTAAAACAAAAAAAAGTAAGTTAGTGGATAGAGTTTTCTTAATCTTAACTTTGTTGCAATATTTTTTAAAAAATTTGCTTTGACATGCTCATTGAAATAAACAAGTAGCAAATACAGTGGAAGACTGGAAGACAATCACCCTTAAGTTAGCACTATGTTTACTTGTTTTGTGCAAAAGAGTTCGAGATTATGCTATGTGTTTGAAACATATAATATTGTCATATGCTGGAAAAAATTTTAGACTGAATAATGGAATTAAATATATCATGTCATGATAATCTAGAAATAGCTCCAAGTGCTCACATATGAACATATATGATAAAGAATGGGGGCCGGGCACGGTGGCTCACGCCTATAATCCCAGCACTTTGGGAGGCCGAGGCGGGTGGATCACAAGGTCAAGAGATCGAGACCATCCTGGTCAACATGGTGAAACCCTGTCTCCACTAAAAAATACAAAAAATTAGCTGGGCATGGTGGTGAGTGCCTGTAATCCCAGCTACTCAGGAGGCTGAGGCAGGAGAATTGCCTGAACCCAGGAGGCGGAGGTTGCGGTGAGCCGAGATCGCGCCATTACACTCCAGCCTGGGTAACAAAAGTGAAACTCCATATCAAAAAATAAAAAGAAAAAAAGAATGGAGTGGAAAATATGGTGTTTCTGCATGATAGTGATTCTGTTATTTAAAAAGTAATACCTCTGAGTGATAAAAAGACAGGTTAGGCTAAATCCACAGGGAAGTCTATTATGGAAAAGAGAAAAGCAAGGTGGGTGAATGAATTAAAAATTAAAATAGACTACCTCATTCTGAATATTTTTAAAAATTTAAACCACATTATACGCTTATTCTTGACTTACTACTCTGATCCATTATTAATAAATGAATGAGATAGCCCCATCTTTTGTTGTGTAAATACAAAATCAAAATGAATCAAACATTACTAATAAAATAAATCTACAACATGAGACTATTATATCTAGTGCTTATCACAATAAAGATGGAAAACGTTTCTGAAAATTGGAAGTCAGAATGATTTGATCATTTTAAACAGAGAGGCAAAAAGGCAAAAACAGGTAAGAGAACAGAGAGGACATAAAGGATCAAAGGAAGAAAGAATTTTAGATATAGGGAAAATCAGCAGAATATAAACAAATTAAATTAACAATTATAAGAAAGAATCATCGCTGATTAATCACCATGAAGCTGAAAGAAATAAAGTTAGAAACTCTAGTGGCAGATCATTATTTTATCAATGAATATTGTGTATTTGAATAAATCATTAAGTCTTAATTTCAGTGGCAATTGGAAATAAAACATTTATTTCTTACCTACTTCACTTTGTGCTTTGAAATTTTCCACTGTGTTAGCAAAGGTGCAAATAGTATTTTGGTTTCACTTAAGCAATTCAAACATTTATTTTCATAAGTAAACTGTGTTGATATCGGTAAGTAGGTCCTAATTTGGAGCCTACAACAACTGATTTGAAAAAGGTTCACAATTTTTTTTTTTTTTTTGCTATTTCTAGCCCAACTAAAAGTGTATGAAAAAAAATCTTATATAACTGTGCTGACCAACACAGTAGCTTTTAGCCACATGTGGTTATTCAAATGTTAATGTAAATTAGTCAAAATTAAGAATTCAGTTTGAAGTCACACTAGTCACATTTCAAGTGCTCAGCAGTCATACCAAAGAATATTTCCACATCACTGTTGTGTACATCCAAGAACACCACAAAACACAAATGCTTTATCACTTATTTTGGCCTAAAATATGAAGAGTTAAGTAAATATAGTTTCATATTTTATCTTACTAACAGGAGGATTATAGATAGTCTTGAACCCATAAGTCTTTTTTGGAAATCAAGACAGTAACTGGCCCACTTAACAAAGATGTTAAAACTTTGTGCATTCCATAACCTCTAATGACATAGTTACACATTCTGGTATCCATACTTGTATTTAGGTAAACATGAAGATATTTTGGCACATGTGCCAAAAACCTGAAGGCGATACATTAGGGAATCTAAGATATTGAATGAGGCTTTCCATATAATTCAACAAAATGGATTACAGCTGATATTTCCAGAGATACTATGGAATACAGTGCTCAAATTTCAGTGAATTATTCTTATGGTAAGTATGGTGACCAACTTATCTGAGTTTTCCTGAGTGTTTCCAGGTTTGGAAAGTCCCATGTCCCAGTGAACTCCACAGTCCTGGTCAAACTGGAACAGCTTGTCACCCTAGTGAGAAAGCATAGTGCTTCCTGTTTCTTATGTATTTTCCAAAATGGTGACCTATTGTAGGGATTGATTCACTTTTCTATATTAATAGTTATATAACTTCTAATATGGACTCAAGGTAACTTGGCCCAATCTGCCTTTTTAGTCATTCTACTTGAACCCTCTGCTCTAGCTATACCAAATTTCTTGGCTTTCCCAAAACATGCATTTTCACACCACTGTCTTTGCTCAGTTCATTCTCTGCTGGGAATGCTTGTTCATACCACTAAACATACACAGAACTTACTTCTCAAGGTCCAATTCAAATACCTCTGTTGACAAGCTTTCTCTTTTTTCAAATTTCCCTACTCTGCAATAGAATGCATTTGCTTCCTCTGCTGTATTAGCAGCATGCTTTATATATATTCCTTTTATTTTATTTTATTTTATTTCGAGACGAAGTTTCACTCTTGTCACCCAGGCTGGAGTACAATGGCACGATCTCGGCGCACTGCAACCTCCGATTCCTGAATTGAAGTGATTATCCTGCCTCAGCCTCCTGAGTAACTAGGATTACAAGTATGTGCCACTACACCAGCTAATTTTTGTATTTTTAGTAGAGACAGGGTTTCTGGACTTGAACACCTGACCTTGGGTGATTAGCCTGCCTTGGCTTCCCAAAGTGCTGGGATTATAGGCATGAGTCAACATGCCTGGCTATGTATATTCTTAATTATCTTAAATATATTAAGAGCAATTAGCAATTGCTCCCTTGTGCTGATATTTGCCTTACATATTTGCTTTCTTTTCTAGACTACCAGTGCAAATGGCTCATTTCTAGTTTCAAACTTTTTGTCACATAGGAAATGTTTGTTAAAAGCTGTTTTATAAAATTTAAAGCTTATTTTACATATTATTCTCATTTGATCTCTCAAGAATTCTGTGAATTTGACAAAGTAGATTGCTCTATATGCATAAGACTGATGAACAAACAGGCTTAGAGATAGTGACCTGCCCAAGGTTAGGAAGCTGTAAGTGTTGGGATTGAATCCCAGGTCTTCTCATTACTTTTTACTAAATTCCATTGAAGGTTATCAACCGACAGACAGGATTACTCTGTGTGTTGGTAACAAAAGGGTGATCAATCATATTTGAAAAACAGACTTTAGTCTTTTCCTTTCCTTCAAACCCACCCCACAATGGAGCATTCTTTCATGCCTCCAATTTAATTCCACCTGGCGAGAAACGTGGGCTAAATATCCTTATTATATCTTAAATCAAATTGCCAAAACTCCACAGGCTACTAAAAGTTAACCCTTACTGAATGCATGAAAAACCTTAGAAGTTCTGCTGTTAAAAGCACGGTGACTGTCAGGATTTTTCAGTGTGTGTGTGTTTTAAGACTTCAGCTCTTCCGTATGATGGATTCCTTTGACTTTGTCTCTATTATTATAGACTTGTAGCTGTTATAACTGTCAGGGTTTTTCAGTGTGTACCAGCGTGTCTGTGTGTCTAAGACTTTCAGCTCTTTCGTGTGATAGATTTCTTGGACTTTGTCTCTATTATTATAGGCTTATAGTCCAGGTAACTACCAAGCATTATCCAAAGGGGAAAGCACCCTGTTAGAAACCAAGAAAAACGGTTTATACTCCCAGTCTGCTATTTCGATTCTAAGCTTTATCTTTATTTAGCTCACAGTTAGAGGCGCATGAAGCCACACCCACCTCACAGATGCCAGACTGGGAGACCAGAAAAGTAAGAGCGACTTGCAAACCTTAGCTCTAAATCCATAAAAAAGACTATCATATGCTCAGATTTCTAGTTTTTGCTAATATACTATAATCCTTATTTTGAAAATAGTGTGCTTCCAATCCTCTTAAAGCGTAAGTCACGTCGCTGCGACCCTCCCTTCGGTGACTCCGGCCTCTCAAGCGACACTCGGCCTTCCAGCTTTTCGGCAGGGCTGCACCGAACGAGGAAAAGCGGCGCCTGTGGTGACGCACGTATTCCGCGCAATGACGTCACTGCCAGGCGCCGGGCGATACCTTGTGTCTGTTTTCGGCGGGCTTAGCAGGGACAAAAATGTCTATGGCTAGCGATTTCTATCTGCGCTACTACGTAGGGCACAAGGGCAAGTTTGGGCACGAGTTTCTGGAGTTCGAATTTCGGCCGGACGGTGAGAAGAGGCCCACGGCACGCGGTGCTAGGAAAGGGGAGCGAGACCTAGAGTCCGTGGAGAAGGCGAGGGGAGGCCGGGTGGTGTGGGGTAGCCGAGCTTCGGTAGGCTTGAGAGTGTGCAGGGGGCGGAGGCCACTGCTTTCCCCGAAGGAAATAGGAGCTTAAGAATATAGGAGGCCCAAGTTGGTTTTATAAAGTAAAGAGAATTGCTATAAATTAAAGCTAATCCTGTCACAAACTGAAAAGTTGAACCTACAGTAATTATAATTTTTTAACAGTGCATCTGAAGGGACTTGAAAGGCTCTGGAGATGGTCGCCATAATTAAAAATGCTAGCATCTTTTTGAAAACACCCCCACCATTGGTGGTCCAATAGATGAATAAAATCTTGCAACCAGTACATTTTGTTCGTTCAGGCTGTGTGTGTTATTTGAAGGGGAGGAGCTCGACGTGTTAACAAATGAGAATAATAATATGTTTTAGGTGCTTAAGTATAATTGTTCACCACAGCATGTATATAGAGTATCAAAAAAGAGGAGAGAGGCAAAGTTCCACAGGAGGGAATCAGGAAAATCTTCCTAGATGACGACACTACTGAGATGAGTCTGGAAATGAGAGACTTGGCCTTTGAGAGAGAAAAAAACCAGACTTCCAGAGCAGAATGAGCCGAGGACCAGGTGAAACTGCTACCCATGTAGTGTGCAACAATTTGTGTTTTCTGACAGCACTATCCTTAGAGAATGTTACATTGATCTTGCCTACCTGCAACAAGAAAGTTCATTTGGAAACATATTTTTTGGGTTTTTTTGAATGCACATTTTGTGCTGGGCAACAAGCAAATACAAAATTTGAAGATACAATAGTAAGACTTAAATTTAACTCAAAGAGATTGGTCTTGGTGGGAGACACAGACGTTTAACTATAAGGCAATATGCATATTAAGTCCTATAAGCATGTTTTGGACAATGTTCTGTGAGAGCAAGAATAGAAAATTACAGGAGGAGTGTATATTAGGAAAGGAGGAGAGTACCAAGCACTTCAGACGGAACTCACGTTAACTACAGTCCTGCAGTTATTATTTTTTTTGAGACAGGGTCTCACTGTGTCACTCCGATCTGAGTGCAGTGGCACAGTCTCAGCTCGCTACAACCTCTGCCTCTCGGGCGCAAGTGATCCTCCCACTTCAGCCTCCCGAGTTGCTGGGAGTAAGGCCCGTGACACCTCTCCTGACTCATTTTTCTTTTCGGTAGAGACAGGTTTTCCCATGTTGCCCAGGCTGGCCTCAAATTCTCGAGGTCAAGTGATTCAGCTGCCCGAAGTCCTGGGATTACACGGATGAGCCACTGCACCCAGCCAGCCCTGCAGTTATTTAGAAACCTTAATCGCTGTATTCAACCTTACTCTCTCCATAAATTCAGCTAAATTTACCTGAATTGATCTTTCTTTAATATTATTTTCAGTTCCTCTGCCTGTGAACAACATCATGCTTATCCCTATCCCTTTTAGCAGGTCACATAAATTAAGTACCTGAATATTATCAGGGAAATTGTATGGTAGAACAATGGTTCTAATCAATGTAGCTGCCACCGCGCCATTCCACATACCTCCATTGGTAATAGTGAGTCCTGAAGACTGGCATCTTTTTTCTTTTTCTTTTCTTTTTTTCTTTTTTGAGACTGGAATCTTGCTCTGTCGCCCAGGCTGGAGTGCAATGGTGTGATCCTGGTTCACTGCAACCTCGGCCTCCTGGGTTCAAGGGATTCTCCTGCCTCAGCCTCCTGAGTAGCTGGGATTGTGGGCATGCGCCACCACATCCAGCTAATTTTTCACCATGTTGGCCAGGCTCGTCTTGAACTGCTGACATCAGGTGATTCACCCACCTCAGCCTCCCAAAGTGCTGGGATTACAGGCATGAGCCACTGTCCCTGGCCATCAAAGACTGGCATTTCCATCATTTTAGAGTATCTGCAGTACATTGTACCTGTGTCTGGGCAACTGACTGGCCATAAGGGGAAGTATACATCAGAGAATACAAAAATCGTGATGGATTAAAATTAAATATAAACCAGCCAACAAACTCACCAACTTTGACCCAGAAGCATTGTTTGTATGCTTCTTAGTCATAATTCTAAAATGTCTGCATTATCATAATTGTATGCATACACTGGAAGGAAAGAAATTAAAACATTTTGTGTAGTGGAGAAAGCATGAGTATTGAAAGAAAGTAGATTTAGAGCTGAATCTTGTGTGACCCTGGTTAAGTTACTTTGTTTTCTCTCCTATGAATACGTGAGATAATAAAACTTGTTTTTTAGGGTTGTTTTAAAGATTAAATGCTCTGGGTAAGACACTTAGCACCAATATGGACATATAACAAACTTGAAAGGAATGTTAGTGCCTTTTGCAGATTCTCTTTCTAGTTCATGATGTAGCTTAAGAAAACAGGCCTTAAAAATGACCCAATATATAGTATAGGCATGGGCTATTTAAATATTTGGCCACCTTCAACTTCAGCAAACTTAACCAGCAAATATTTATTGTCTACATTTCTGCATCTTACACGAGGAGGGAGGAAATACTAATAAAAGTAGTAGTATCAAATGGTTTTTGCCTTCATAATTGTATACAATGTCATTAATTTTTTTTTGGCAGTTTTTGCTATTATAAATTGATTTTTTTTCTCCACTTCTCACAGGAAAGCTTAGATATGCCAACAACAGCAATTACAAAAATGACGTAATGATCAGAAAAGAGGTAAGTTATATTCAAATGTCTTTTAGCCCATTTTCTTCAAGTGTGTGTTGAATTTACAAAAATACATCTAAGTTTCCATTGTAAATAAGAAGCCAATTTATAGATAGAAAGGCATTTCTGTTTCAAATAGATACAATTGTTGCATCCATAGTGATGAGAAAGTTCAGAGAACTAACTGTGATGTGAACTATACTTGCATTTATCTATTTATTTATTTTTATTTTTTGAGACAGAGTCTCGCTCTGTCGCCTAAGCCGGAGTGCAGTGGTGCGATCTCAGCTCACTGCAGCCTCTGCCTTCCAGGCTCATGCGATTCTCCTGCCTCAGTATACTTCCATTTATTACTGTTCACCTTATAGATCTTGTGACGTCACAAGTTAACCAGTCGGAGGTATTTGGATCTCAATGTTACAAAGGCAGAATACAGTGTTTTCAAAGGCAGGTAATGATGAGAAGAGGGAAAAAATATATGTTAAAGGAAAGGGCAAGAGATGAAGAAAAGTAATATAACAAGGATGAATGAGTCTATTCTATACCTTTGGAATCAATGAAATTTTTCAGTATTTCTCTATTTGAATATTCAGGGTTTATAACTCTTATTTCCTTCGGTTGAGGGGTAACACAGGTGGACATTTTTAATCATATTTTATTATGATTAATTTTTAGGCTTATGTACACAAGAGTGTAATGGAAGAACTGAAGAGAATTATTGATGACAGTGAAATTACAAAAGAAGATGATGCTTTGTGGCCTCCCCCTGACAGGGTTGGCCGTCAGGTTTGTATTTAGTGATCCTTTAAGTGCATAAATATTAAAAAATGATAATACTGTTATGCTTTCCCTTGTTTATTTTAAATGAGTCTAAGTTGATTCTCTGGCTTTCCGTTCAGTAGGCACCTGGTAAATTCTCTTTATCTCTCTTAGTTCCGTTTTCTGTCCTATCTCCGGTAGTAAAGGAGTTGGTGCATAGTTCTAAATTTAGACATCTTTCTCTGTAGTTACCGCAGCCAATGTTGGGATGTTTTCACAGTGCAGTGTTAGGAAATTTCTGTTGTGTGTTAATCACTTTTATTAAGAATATGATTATGTAAAATTTACTTTTGCCAAATCATAACTTTCAAAATTCCTGTTTGCATCCCTATACCCCAGAGAGAGACTTGATTGGTGGTTTCTTTATTACAGCTGATGATTGCATTTGCCTCTCCTATTCCTTCAGAATAACTGATGTTTCTCAAAATGCTTCTGAAGAACTCTGAAGGCCTAATTTCATTCTGTAGAAAGAAAGTTTGGTTTCTGAATTGGGTCTTTTCAACTCTTGGAGAAATGAGATACAACCCCTGGAAGGAAGAAACATTTAATTTCACTCTTGTATATTCCTGAGGATTGTACTTTCTATCACCTTCTTTGACTAGAAGAAAATGTGGAGAAAGATAACAGATGCTGACATTCTGTAGGAGTAACTTAACTCTTCTGTTTAAAGAAACATTATTTAGGAAAGCAAAGGTAATAGTTAACAGTATTTATTCTAAGCATTGCATCACTTTTAAAAAGTAAATTTAGGCCTCAGTTTGTTTTATGCACATATACATGTGTACTAAAAAGCAGACCACAGCAGCTAACCTTTTATATCATTTAGACTCAGGGAGAGCCTAGTATTTTATCTACTCGCTTAAGGATGTTTTCCTGGGTTTTGGTTAGCAGGAAGGAGTAGGCATGCTTCAGAAATTGCCTTTTGTATCAAGTCAAAGGTTCTATGGCTGTTAGAGCATCTTAGTTTTCTCCATTTGGCCTGTGTCATTAAACTGGATAAATGGGTCTTCTGGTTAAATAAATAGCTAGAACTGCCTTCAATGGTGTCTGTTAACTTGAAAATTCATTACAGATAGAGTCTCTTCGTTATTGGTTTTAGGCCTACAGATAATAGAGAGAAAAATCTCTACAGTAATTACAGCACACTAGGAACATCTACATCATGTTGTATTTGTTTTACTAGTTCTTAATTTTAGTTATTTTACGGAGTATTGGTTTTAAATCTTACAATCTTGAGATCAAATATAAGTACTGTCACTTATTAGTGGTTATTAAATACAAGCAAGTATTTTCCTCTGCTTTATGAGTTTTGGATTACACATTTGTAAAATAGGTTAATAAGGTTATTTTCAAGATTGTAGAGAGTGTGAAGTCCCTCGTACTAGGACCTGACATACAGTAGGTGCTAAAGTGGTGTTGGTTATTACTGTTATACATCTTATTTGTAGAATCTTCCAGACAGGAAACGTGTATTTATCATATTAAAAATGGCCTCGGGGTGAAACCCCGTCTCTACTAAAAATACAAAAAATTAGCTGGGCATGGTGGCGCGTGCCTGTAATCCCAGCTACGCAGGAGGCTAAGGCAGGAGAATTGCCTGAACCCAGGAGGCGGAGGTGGCGGTGAGCTGAGATTGCGCCATTGCACTCCAGCCTGGGTAACAAGAGTGAAACTCCGTCTCAAAAAAAAAAGATATAGTTTGTATCTAATAAACCAAGGTTTTGTTTTTTTTTTTTCTCATCTCCCTTCATTGACTGCTAGAAAACTTACAACTAGAATTGGGACCCATTTGTAGCAAGAATACAGATATCTCTGGGATAGATTTTTGCATTAAGTACATTTTTGTGCTGTTTTTTTTTAGGAGCTTGAAATTGTCATTGGAGATGAGCACATATCTTTTACCACATCAAAAATAGGTTCTCTTATTGATGTGAACCAGTCAAAGTAAGTATGTGGAAGCATGTTGGCTCAGGTGTCATATTAGAAAGGCTCAGTTTAGAACTACAGTTTGTTAGCCAAGATCATTTCAGAGGCATTACAGTGAATTGATAAACCTATCAGTTTATTATGCAGATGTAATTCTGATTTTTATATCATTAAAGGCTTATTATCTTGTCTCTCAGTAGAAGTTAGCAGAGTATTTCATTGATTGTCCAAAAAATTTTAATCCAACAGCTGTATATAATAATGCCCAAATTGTATTAGCCATTTTGTATAAAAATGTGGATATAGTATTAGAAAATCCAAAGAAAAGAAATCCTCTTTAGAGCCATATCATCTCACTTTCCTCCTTGGACTCAATACTTGGGGAAAAAAAAAATGGAAAAAATCCAGTATAGCCTGAATATCCTTTAGCTACCAATGTCTTCCCAAGATCTGTCTCTTTTCCATCCCGGGTTTTGTGGCACATCCCACTTTCTTGGTCTTCTTTCTGCCCATTCCCCTCAGCGTGTCCCTACAGTACTCTTATTTTTTTCTCTTACACTAAATTGTAATAATCCTGGTTTGAATGTAAGCTCCATGAGAACCTTGCTGTACCCTCAAAGTTAGCATAGTGTCCTGCATGTAATAGATGCTTTTGATAAATATTTATTAAAGGAAAGGAGAAAGGAATGAATGCATAATAACTATTGGACACAAAAGTCTGTGTTCACAAAGACCAACCAGATGCTTTTAAACTATCAAATTTATTCTCCTACATTTGGTGAGGATGTGGCGTTGATACCCTACTGGGATTATAAACTGTAGTGGTTTTTGGAAAGCAGTTTGATAATATGCATCAAAAACTGTTAACATTTTTCATTCATCTTTGGCCTAGTAATTCATTTTTCAGCATCTCTTCTATGGAACTGTTCCTAAATATTGGAAAAGCTTTATTATGCATGAAGATGCTCATTGAAGTATTATTTATAATAGGAAAATAATCCCAGTGTCTAATAAGGAGAGAATTATTAAATTAATTAAAAATTATTAGTGAGTTCTTTTGAGTGCTGTGGGGAAAGTAATTAAAAAATGGCACAGGAAATGATTGTAGTTACTAACGAATGGAGAATATCAATGTTTATAGTTATTCTATGAAAATGGTGGCATTACAGTATTTCTTTCTGCTCTATTAGACATTTTTATGATGTGGTTATTACATTCATAAGAAGATTAAACTCTTTAAATACTAAAATGAATACTGATGAAGAAATTTTTTTCTTATAGAAAAGATATTTTCATTGTATGTTCGTTTTAGTTGTTAGCAAAATCCTTCCTTTCTCCTAAATTGTGTTAACTTGTTAGAAGATTTTGATTTTGTTTTGTTTTAGGAATTTAAGGAATTGTTTTATCCTAGGAACAAAAAGTAACTTTTACCTTTTTAAATTTTAGGGATCCTGAAGGCCTTCGAGTATTTTATTATTTGGTACAAGACTTGAAATGTTTAGTTTTCAGTCTCATTGGATTACACTTCAAGATTAAACCAATTTAAATTCCATGTTTTTCAAGCTGTTTGTATATTTAATTAAGGGATGAAGGGTTTATTTGTCATTTACAATATTGGGGTTTTTATGAATGTGAAGCAAAAAAAAAATTTGTATGTAAACTGAAAATAAGAAAATACATTAACAGGCTTAATGGTCATCCTAACTTGAGTCCACGTGGTTTGGACAGTCCCCACACACATTAAGTTCTGTAAATAAAAGCCACCTTTTGTTAAAAATTTGCTCTAATAAAACATGCCAAATCCTGGTTGCAGAGTATTTTTTTGTTTGTTTGTTTTTTTCCAGGAGGCCATGTCTCTAATTTACTTTAAAGATAATAAGAAATTGTTCTGGTAGGTATATCCTGTGATAGAAGATACTTTAGGTGGAAATATGTAGCCAGATTCTCATCCACTAAAAGCAACTGTAGGTATTTCCTCCATTCGTGATTGAATTTAATTTTGGGGGCTTATGGAAGGTCTGGGTCTTTTGCAGTTATCACAAACCCCTCAGGGATTATTCACATTTAAATATTTTCGGTTATAAGCAGTGATGTGCTAAAGTGTTACAAGAGTAAATTCCACCCCATGTTAGGCATATCTTTGATTTTGCCCAGTGGTTGAGGGAGAACTAAATAAGTTTTCAGCTTTATATATTGTTAAATGTTTAGACAAACACATGTATGTAGGAATGTACATAAATATTTTTAACTCCTATTGAACACAGGTCTCTCTTAAGTTTCCCTGTTCTTTCCAACCTCTTTCTGATGGTAACCATGTCCCTTGTTTCCTTTATTCTTCCATCTGAACCCCCACTCTTTAAACATTATGATGTTCTGGTAGTTATGATCCACTTGCCCCAGGAAGAAGTTAGCACTAACTTTTGGGCGGAATAATTAGTTAATTAGGAAATAGAAAATTAGAAAATAATTAGGAAATCTCGCCAGGACTCCTGAGCTAGGCTCTAGAGTCGGGCTGTCTGGTAACTTTTTTTGCAATAATGGAAGTGCAATCCAATAGGATAGCCACTGGCCAAATAGGGTTACCGATTACTTGAGGTATGTGCCTCATATAACTGAATCTATGGTGCTCTTTAAAAATTTTTTTTTCTAATGTGAAAAGGATAAAACATAAAACTCTTGAGATTTATAAAGTGAATACCTATATGCCAACCTAGATTGTATACTTAACATCTTTTTTACTGTAATATGTCTATTATAAATCATCTTGGTTTTTCCCTTAACTAGTGTAATTGGTGCTAGTAAACTACATTTTTTGTAGTGATACTTAGTTTTGATTAAATTTAGTGGCTACCCATTGGACAGTATAGGTCTAGAGCATGGTTTGGTAACCTTCTTGCCATGGAGCACTAGATGGCAAGTTTTGAGCATTTCATTGCTCAGAATGACCCACTGTTTCACATTTGCCATGGAAAGCAACAGAGTTCTACTTCATGGTGCAAGTACACCATCTTCAGGTCTTGTATGTAAAATATTTCTGTTTCAGTTGTAGACCTTGATAATTGTGCAATACAAAATTGTATAATATTCTTGCATTTGGTGTCAGCCTCAAGAAGAAAGAAGAGCAATTGCCTTTTGAACTTCCAGGGGGCCCATAGTTTTTGGTTGTGCCTCAAAATAACCTTCATTCTGTGACTCCTGTTGAGTAAGAGGATTCATTCAAAACTGAACAAGGTTGAGGAGAAATAGCGCTTACATTAAAATCTTTAACGCTTTGTCCCCATGCTCTGACTTACTTATGTATTGATTATTTTGCTCTGTCCCCAGTATCTACTAGGATTTCTCGTATTTAAACCCAGTGGGAGACTAGGCCATTAGAAAAATATTATTGACCACAACTTTCTTATACTTTGATCTGTCTTTTATGCTGATGGACAGTGATCATTAGAAACTGAATTTTTTGTAGTACTAGTTTTATATGAAACTAGATTTTTATTGCACACTCAGGTTATGTTCCTTTTACCTCCTTTCTTTTTTTTTTTTTTTTTTTTTTTTGAGACAGAGTTTCGCTCTTGTTACCCAGGCTGGAGTGCAATGGCGCTATCTCGGCTCACCGCAACCTCCACCTCCTGGGTTCAAGAGATTCTCCTGCCTCAGCCTCCTGAGTAGCTGGGATTACAGGCATGCGCCACCATGCCCAGCTAATTTTTTTGTATTTTTAGTAGAGACGGGGTTTCACCATGTTGACCAGGATGGTCTCGATCTCTTGACCCTGTGATCCACCCGCCTCGGCCTCCCAAAGTGCTGGGATTACAGGCGTGAGCCACCGCGCCTGGCCCTTTTACCTCCTTTCTTAATAAAGAGACCTCTTGAAATAAACTTTTTTCCAAGCACTGTTTCTACACCTCATCCCACCTTTTCCCCTCTCAGGAGATAGTGCAGAACCCTAGCACAGTCTTTTCCATGTAGTCTTTTTTATGCTTTTTTTTTTTGAGACAGAGTCTCACTCTGTCGCCCAGGCTGGAGTGCAGTGGTGCGATCTCAGCTCACTGCAACCACCACCTCCCGGGTTCAAGAGATTCTCCTGCCTCAGCATCCTGAGTAGCTGGGATTAAAGGTGCATGCCACCACACGTGGGTAATTTCTGTATTTTTAGTAGAGATGGGGTTTTGTCATGCTGGTCAGGCTGGTCTCAAACTCCTGACCTTGTGATCTGCTCACCTTAGCCTCCCAAAGTACTGGGATTACAGGCATGAGCCACTGTGCCTGGCCACTAGGTGTGTTTTAAGCCTGTTGAATTGGTTGCTATTTTGTTCTCTCCTTAGATTATTTACCTTTAGATTATTTATCTTTGGTATTTCATTGATATCAGGCTGAGTCAATTTGTATGGATTTTTTTTATTGCATTTTAGGTTTTGGGGTACATGTGCAGAACATGCAAGATAGTTGCATAGGTACACACGTGGCAGTGTGATTTGCTGTCTTCCTCTCCTTCACCCACATCTGGCATTTCTCCCCAGGCTATCCCTCCCCAGCTCCCCCCAACACTGTCCCTCCCCTATTCACCCTAATAGATCCCAGTGTGTAGCGCTCCCCTCCCTGTGTCCATGTGTTCTCATTGTTTATCACCCACCTATGAGTGAGAATATGCAGTATTTCATTTTCTGTTCTTGTGTCAGTTTGCTGAGAATGATGTTCTCCAGATTCATCCATGTCCCTACAAAGGACTCGAACTCATCATTTTTGATTGCTGCATAATATTCCATGGTGTATATGTGCCACATTTTCCCAGTCCAGTCTATCATCGATGGGCATTTGGGTTGGTTCCAGGTCTTTGCTATTGTAAACAGTGCTGCAATGAACATTTGTGTGCATGTGTCCTTATAGTAGAACAATTTATAGTCCTTTGGTTATATACCCAGTAATGGATATTTTTAATGTGAATACAAATGTAGCTGAGATGATTTATATATTCTATTATTAGACTACTTTGTTTTGATTTGTAACATGAGTTGTGCTGTAAGTTTAACCACTGGCCCCTTTAATTAATAATTGGATTTCTAGCATGAATAGATAATGAACTAGAATACAAATTTTTAAAAATGAGGCCAGGCATGGTGACTCACACCTGTAATCACAGCACTTTGGGAGGCAGAGGCGGGCAGATCACCAGAGGTCAGGAGTTCAAGACCAGCCTGGCCAACATGGTGAAACTCTGTCTTTATAAATAAAAAAATTAAAAATGTAATAAAGATAACAAAGATAAAGGAAAGATTTGAGGGTGAGTTCAGAGTCTGCCTTGGCTGACTCCCATATGAAGAACAGTAAAGTTGGAGAACTACCACTCAAAATCTCAGGTATCTACGTTGTCCTAGTGTGAACCATGTGACATGGTGGAGAGAATGCTGATTTAAGAATCGGAAGTCTTAATTACGGATCAGCTTAACTCTTTTCCCTTAAATCGCCATCAGGAATCCTTTTTTTTTTTTTTTTTTTTTTTTTGCCATTATGTAATCTTGCTTAATTTCTGAGGTGGCCCTCTTGTTTGTCTTCTCAGAAATAAGAGGAAGGATGTTTACTGTTTGATTGATGCCTGGAGGTCCAGTTGGGACAATATACTTTAAATTTAGAGCATCTGAATATATTGTACTGTAAAGACAGGACAAAAAGGGTGATAGGGAAACAGAAAATCTCAAGATAGTGATCTTTTTATTTTTCTTTACTATGAGAACCAGGAAATCTAGTTTCATGCAGTGGCATAAAAAGCATTAGGACAAATAAAAAAGCAGGTGGGAGCCTGTCTGGGTGAGGTTAGTCCTCCCAGTGAAGTGATTCGGACCATCTTCCCTGCATGCTATGGTTTTTTCCAGACATACTTCTTTTTAGTCTGGAGCGGGAAGAACAGTGTGCTGCTATGATCTGATAAATCACTGAGGTTTGAAAGTGTGACCCAGAGGTTTGAAGTGTGACTGGAAGCTGTGTGCTAAGCTTCTAGCTAACAGTATGGTCAGAAAGGAATGAGTAAAATATGTGGTTTCCCGAATCAAAAAGTCTTTTGCAGCAATGCAGCCAGAAAATAAGCAAATTAATACTTCATATATTCATATTTGTGTGTATGTGCATGTTTTGCACAAAAGTGAATTTGAAAGACAAAGTACCAGAACATTCAAAACTCTTCGTATTTCTCTTCTTTCTCTTTTATTAACTGGCTGTGATAAAGTTTAATACTTCCGGCTTTGTGTGCCTTTGATCAAAAGGCCAGGCAGGGAGTTTCAATTCCATTCGAAGTTACTGTTATCTTCTGCTGCTGATTGTGTTTTCCTTTAAAGAAGAAATTTGCCTTTTCCAGCATTTCAGAGCTTGGTAATAAAGAGAAAACAAAAGGAGCACTACACAAGTTGGCTTTCCAATTGTCAGTCTAATTCTGCCTCTTTTCAAAACTATGAACGAATCTTGATTCAATATTTAGTTGGTTTTCACTTTATCGACTTTGTTCATCAAATGCACTTGTAGGCATCCTACCTCTTATATGTGCTGCAGTTTCAATAATGAATAAGACAGACTTGTGGACTTTATATTGTAAGGGAGGAAACAATATGGAAAAAGTGTAAAAAAGTATGTTCTGCACTTGTCTAGTCTCCATCCTGAGAACTATTCACCTTCTCACCAGCTATGTGGATGTAAATCAAAACAGAAAAATGCCTCAACATCACTAGTATCTGCATGGGGCTGCAAGATATGCAGCCACAGTTTCTCTAGAGTGATGGTGGCATGCTGCAGTATGTTCCCAGATCCTAAGTTATATTTGT